ACCCCAGCTGATCAGCTGCGACTCAGTGCTGAATACCACCTCTGGAAAGGCTGTAAACCCATTTCATCCAGTGGGCATTTTTCCTGGAAATCGAAAGTAAACTCAAGAAACTAGCAAAAGCTAGTTTCTAAAACTAAAAACGAAAATTGTGATCGTGTGATTGTAAGACACCGGAAACAGCTGTAAAAGGGAATCAATTGCCACAAGCATTCAAAATGTGATCATGTGACCATTGTGGGTTGTGGCCTGTGGAACTTTGAAATCAGGTCATAAGTGTCTTTTGAGGGGGTTGTCATAACTTTGAACAGCCACTGAGCAACTGGTCGTTACACAAGGACTATTTGCAGCAGGAAATGAGAAACAGGCAGATGTATAATTGGTAAAGGAGAATATTTGTAGCTCAGGGTTGAAATGAGGGGTCCTTGGTGCTCTCTCAGCTGGGTTGTTTTCTTGCAGATGTTTCATGACCCAACTAGGTAACATCATTAGTGCTAGAAGGGGGTGGGATTTTTTTTAGCACTGATGATGTTACTTGGTTGAGCATAAAAGCGGATAAAAAGATGTTGAGACTCTAGAAAAAGTGTAGAGAAGAGCAACCAGGATGATTAGGGGACTGGAGGCTAAAACATACGAAGAACGGTTGCAGGAACTGGGCCTGGGTAGTCTAGTGAAGAGAAGGACCAGGGGAGACGGGAGAGCAGTCTTTCAATATTTGAGGGGCTGCCACAGAGAGGAGGAAGGGGTCAAGCTATTTCTCAAAGCACCTGAAGGCCAGACAAAGAATAATGGATGGAAACTGAACAAGGAGAGATTCAACCTGGAAATAAGGAGAAACTCTCCTGACAGAACAAACAACCCATGGAATAGAAGTTGCCTTCAGAAGTTGTGGGAGCTTCATCCCTGGAGGCTTTCAAGAAGAGACTGGACTGCCCTCTGTCAGAAATGGTATAGGGTCTCCTGCTTGGGCAGTGGGTTGGACTAGATGACCTACAAGATCCCTTCCAACTCTGTTAATCTGTTAATTTTCTGTTTGGGGATTTGAGTTGTATTCTTGTCTAAACAAGTCCATCTAATGAGACTTTTTTTTTTTTTTGCTACAATATGGACTTTCCTTTGTTGGAGTTTTGCAAGAGCCCTATAAATGCTCCGTATTTGGAGCAGTTTTCCTCGGCACTTTTTCCAAAACCATCATTTCACTTTCCTTTGCGATGCCCCTTGTAACCAAAGCATTGAGTAATCAATAATGTTCTACTAAACCCTTATCAATAGAACACTGAGCCAGACTGGAGATGCTGGAGAAAAGCAACATCCTTTCAGCAGAAAGGACAAACCAAAGAGGAAAGAGAATATCCCAGCCACCTTCAGGATGTGCCCGAGCCCTTGCTCGTTAGAAAGGTTCTTCCTACTATTTGAAAGGGGGTAATAAGGGGTACCTTTACCAAAAAAAGGGGGGGGGGGGAAGCAGACACGCTCAATGCTTCTAGGCCGGGTGATGCAGCCGGCATAACTGAGATGTTTGCAATGGGTCTATTTAATCATCTCAGAGGCTAGAATGGGATGAACAAGTGAAAGTTACAACAACGAATAAATTGCACAGGATTTGCATTCAATATTGTCTTTGCTGATGTTTTTTGCAAGGACTCTGAAAGTCCGTCTCTGATTCTGACTCTAACTCTGTCTCTCTCTCTCTCTCTCTCTCTCTCTCTCTCCGTCTCTGTCTCTCTTTGTGTCTCTGTCTCTGTGTCTCTGTCTCTCTCTCTCTCTGTTTCTCTCTCTCTCTCTCTCTCTCTCTCTTTCTGCATCTGCTCCATTTTAAGTACAGGTAATCCCTCGACTTACGGCCACAATTGAGCTCAAAATTTCTGTTGCTAAGCATGACAATTGTTAAGTGAATTTTGCCCCACTTTTACGAACTACCTTGCCAGAGTTGTTAAGCTGTTAACAGCTTAGTTGTTGAGCTGTACCTGTTCAGTTAGTAATGGGGTTGTTAAGTGAATCTGGCTTCCTCGTTGACTTGGTCCGAAGGTCGCAACGGGATCACACGACCTCGATACGCTGCAACTGTCATAAATATGAGTCAGTAGCCTCGGATCTGAATTTTGATCACATGACCATGGGGAATGCTACAATGGTTGTAAGTGTGAAAAATGGTCCCAAGTCACATTTTTTTCAGTAGTGTAACTTTGAATGGTCACTAAATATTGTAAGTTAAGTACTACCTGAATTTATAATGTGTAGGAGAAGGATTGGCAGAAACTATGTGTAGAGTTAAAAGAGGGATCAGCATAGAATCCCTACGTAGCCACAAGTGAACTAAGTCCAACCTCTTGAATTTCGTTAACCCTTATCTAAATGATGATTGGCCCAAAGTCAGCTAGTCACCTTTCAGGGCTAAAGAACTCACTGTCACCTGATGATTGATCTAAAGTCACTTAGTCAATTTTCAGGCCTAAGGAGGATTGGAACTCACCATCTCCTAGTGATTGACCCAAAGTCACCTTTCAGGCTTAAGGCAGGACTAGAACTCCATTTCCTAGTGATGGGCCCAAAGTCAGTTAGTCACCTTTCAGGCCTAAGGAGGACTAGAACCAGGGGTGGGATTCTACCAGTTCGCACCTATTCGCTAGAACCGGTTGTTAACATTCTAAGCAGTTCGGAGAACCGGTTGTTAGAAGAAATTACTGGGCTAATCATGTAAGGAAGGCAGGAAGGAAACATTCTGGTGTTGCTTACAGAAACTGCCTCTCCGTTAACTCTTATTACATTCTTGGCAGGACTAGACTTCCTGTCTTAGGAACTTCTCTGGAGTTTTTTCCCCCTCCTTTGCTGGTACTTTGCTTGTGTGGAGTGACCATTCAAAGTCACAATGGCACTGAAAAAAGTGACTTATGACCCCTTTTCACACTTACGACTGTTGCAGCATCCCCACAGTCACGAGAGGCCAGGCGAGGAGATGCGTGCCTCGATGTGAGTGATATTGAGTCGGCCACGCCCAGCCAATAACATGACCACCAAGCCATGTCCACCCAGTCACATGATCACCAAGCCACGCCCACCACCTAAGCTACGCCCACAGAACCGGTTGTTAAAAATTTTGAATCCCGCCTCTGACTAGAACTCACCTGGTGATCAGTCCAAAGTCACGTAGCTGCCTTTCATGCCTTGGGCGGGACTAGAACTCAGAGACTCCTGGCCAAAATCACCCAGCCTGCTTTCTATTCCTAAAGTGGCACTAGAACGCTCAGACTCCTGGTTTCTAGGCCAGAACCTTCCCTGCTACCCCAAACTGGTTCTTTTTCTCGTCCTCAAAGCCGACGCAGATGTTCCAGGTGACCTGGATTATTCCTTTTATACCAGGGTTGGGAGGGCTGGTTCCTCACAGGTTGCTGAGCTCCACTGAGCCTTGGCCAGGCTAGCTGGATCTGCTGTCCCTTGTAGTTCAGCCCCATCTGGAGTGGCAGAGACCCTTCTAATATTAATGCTGATTCCCACAAAACCTCACCCAACGTGAAATAAAGAGAAACCAGCCACCGGGATGCATGCTTTGCAAAAAAAAATAGGACACTCTGAATATATGCTGCTATCAGATTCCCTGTTGTTGGAAAGCTTTTTTATTTCTTTTGTGTTGGGGAAGGAGTCTAACGGCAGAATTATTCTGATTGATTACGTCTGATCACTGCCATTCAAGGTTTTCAAAGGACGAGATTTGCTCTTTTCTATTCGACCCATTCAGTTTCTCGTCTCCTTTCCAAGCATTTTTGTTGTAAGAAAAATTGCAGCCCTGGTTGCTTTCTTCTTCTTTTTTCTTTTTCCTCAGCTGTGTTTGCCGAAATGGAGGGCGGGGGGGGAAGCACATTTCTTTTGCCATTTCTAAGGCCTTATTCAAGAGCGGGAACTGCAGTGTTCTGGCTGAATCATTTTTGTATATTTTTGCGGGCACGGTGTATTGTACGCTTGTTAAAACATTTTAAGAAAGATTACGCTGGAAGATGTAAGTTTCCCAGAGCAAACTATGGATTGGAAGAGAAAAGGAAGTCTCCTTCTTGCTGTTTCAGAGGTTTCTTACCAATTGTAATATCCAGGGACTTAACACAAGTGGTCCTCTACTTATAACAGGTCATTTATGGACTGTTCAAAGTTACAACAGACCTGCCAAAAAAGTACTTGGGACCCAGATCCACTGACTAACCACTTGCACCCGTTGCCCCCCACAGTCTCCTTTTCACTGTCAGAGGCCTTCAGGAACTACTTCTGCAGCCTGAAGGCCTCTGGATCGATCCAGAGCTTTGTTCTCAACTACAGAGGCCTCCAGGAAAGCCTTGCCAACTGCAGAAGAAATGGGCCGGCAAGGCAGGTGTCAGGGTAAGCAAAGCCTAGCCACACCTGTCGAAAGGTAAGTTGTAGGGCAGCTCCACCATTGCCATCCTCACCCTAGCTTAATTTTTACCTGTCCACTCTGGGGTGGGCAGGATCTTAATTAGGCCTTATTTTTTTTGGGGGGGGGTAGGACTTATATTGGGCACACGTGTAAAAATCAAGCTAGGACTTACTTTCAGGGTAGGTCCTATTTTCGGGGAATCTACTAGATCTGCAGATTGTGGGTAACATTTGCACTAACATCTACTCTGATCGAAAACATCCAGAAATCACCTTGTAACAGGTATTGTAACTGGCAAGAAAAACCTTTGCAAATCATCAGCGCTTGTTGGAAACATGTTCAGTCGTAAGAGCGAAAAACGGCCATAAGTCCCTTTTTTGAGTGCAGTTGTCACTTTGAATGGCCGCTAAACCAATGGTTGTAAGTTGAGGATTTGAATCCTGATTTGGACCGAACGCTGCACTGAAGTTTTTTCTAGCTTGTTTCATTATTCCTGTGAAAGGAAGCATCAGACAGGTCTGAACAGGCAGTCCGCTATGCTTTCTTGAAATGGGATTTTAGAAAACGATTACATATGGTCAACATTTCCTATTTATACATCTGTCTCTTTCTATATTACTAGGAATATTTTAGTGGACAAGCCCAACGATCAATCTTCACGGTGGTCTTCAGAAAGCAACTACCCCCCACAGGTAAGTTTTAAAGGCACCTCTATGTCAGATTCTAATCAGAGCCAAGAGAAAGTCATTCTGATTAACCCAAATCAATCTTACAGTATATTGTATGACCTGTCTGTTTATATAAATTAGAAATCGGTACGTTAAGTTTGGTATTAAACTTGTAAATACCGTTTAACTGTATCGTGGGTAACTTTTTTTTTTTTGTGGAGAACTCTTGAGGCTTATACATACATACGGCTTCAAAAATTTTAGCAACGGGTTCTCTAACCAGTTGGTGGGTGGGTGTGGCCATGGTGGGTGTGGCCTAGTTGGCCTCCTGCGCCTGCAGGAGGGTAGTGTTTTTGCCCTCCCAGGCTCCGGAGGCTTTCCTCAAGCCTCCAGGAGGGCGAAAATGGCCGCCCTGGGCTCTGGAGGCTCTCTGGAAGCCAGAAATGGGCCCATTTCCAGCTTTCCTGAACTTCCGGGAGGCCCGTTTCTCACCCTCCCCGAGCTTCCGCGCAGGCCCTGCATTTACCTGCATTCAAAATGGGCCACATGGGGACTTCTGGGAGGGGCTGGGTGGGCGGGGCCAGCCAGGAGTGGGATTTGGCGGGGGGGTTCTCCGAACTGCACTGAATCTTAGCTAGGGGCTCTCCCCTGAGAACCCCCAGTAGCCTGCCCCTAGTGGTATGGATGTCCAAAAACTTAATTTAGATAGTTGAAAATAGTCAAAATTACTTTGAAAGATCATCTTGATATCATGAGAGAATGTGGATAGCTGGGATCTTTCTTAGCAGAAACGTTTAAAAAATAGAGGAGAGTAAGCAACAGAATAAACATAGTTGGAAGTGAACTTGGTGGCCTTCTAGTCGCAACTAATCTGTCAGGTAGTATTCATAAGATAACTTGCAGTAATTCGTCTTTTTCATGGTCTTCACCGATTTAACCTTTTATAATCCATAGTAGAATATTTCCAGGTTTTAATGTGTGATTGAATGGTCTAAAGTTTGCTAGACCCTAGTCCAAGTCTCCCATTCCGCATGATTCTGAAAGAAGGAATAGCTAGTAATAGACAGACAGACATACATACATATAGAATATATGGTATTCAGCTTTGTTTGGGTATTTTCCCACATCATTATAGTTGTGTTTTTAAAGTTGTAGCACAACTATAACGATGTGGGAAAATACCCAAACAAAGCTGAATACTATTCATGTAAGTACCCACAAAAACTTAAGAAAACATACACATGTATATGTGTGTGTGCGTGTGTGTATACACACACATACATATACATTACATATACATATACATATACATATACATATATATATGAACGCTATACAGAAGCCTGATGATGGCAGATGAGATTCTGCTGAAACGTCGCTACAACTTTAAAAGCACAACTACAATGACGTGGGAAAATACCCGAACAAAGCTGAATACCATACATGTAAGTACCCGCGAAAACTTAAGAAAACATACACACACACACACACACACACATATGTCTATTTGCCACATGATTCAGTTATTCTTTGGAGTGTGCTGCTATCAGCCTGTTCAGTTCTGCATGCTTATTCTGGTCTTTACAATTTCCTGATGGGATAGATATCTTTCCCTCTGAGAACAGTGAACCAAAAGTTTGTTTTTGGTTTTGTGTTTTGTTTTGTATTTTTATATTATTATCGTGCCAGTATTATTTTTACAAGTAACTCAAGGCTGCAAACGTATCAAAGACATCTCCCCCCCCCCCACCTTTCACAATTGTGCAAGGTGCATTGGGCTGAGAGAGAGGGGCTGGCCCAAAGTCAAAGTGTCATGCCCCTGTCGGTATCTGATTCAGAGGGGGAGGCCGAACAGCTGACGGGGAATGGGAGTGTGACTGTAGGTTGTGGAAGAAACTGGGGAAGGACAAAGTCCTCCTGGGCAGAGCAGGGGAGAGGTAGAGCAAGGGAGAGGGAGTTCAGAGGAAGACCCACCCCCCCTTCATCCTAGGGCACATAGGGAGGAACGGAGAAGGGAGCAACTTGAGTTGCGTGGCTTACGGGGGAGGAAAGGGCCCTGATTCCCTTCATTAGGTGCAGCTGGGAACACTGTTTAAAAAGAGAAGCTGCATGCAGGAAGTAAATCATGAATTTGGGAGTAAATCATGGATTTATCTGGTATCATGGCTTCTCTGTGTTCCTGGCATCTTCCCAACTGAGTTTTGCTGTGCTTTCAAGTCTGCAATTCCTTCTCCTGCCCTGTCAAGTTAATTACTACAGCTTGGTTTGTTTGGATTTTTAGTTACAGTCTGTACTTATCTTGTTTTGGACTGAATTTTCTCCACCTAAAGGCTGTTCCTGGGAGAGTTTTTCTCTAATCGAAGGTAACCTGGACATTGGGGGCAAGGTTGGAGATAATAAAGGGACTCTTCTTGCTTATTTGGCTGTGTTGCCTTTGTGTCACGCCCCGGGTCATCACACAAAGTGGACTTTCGTGCCTAAGGCAGAAGTAGAGCTAGAACTTTACTTCACTTGTGCCGATGATAACTCTGAAAACCGTAGTCCTTACTGTAGTCCAGTATCTTGAAGGTTTTGCATTTTTGTATCTCACCTTCACCTATATATCCGACACATTTCCTCCTATTTTTGCCACAACAACCCTCTGAAGTCGGTTGGGCTGAGAGAGCATGACTAACCCAAGGTCACCCAGCCTCTTTTCATGCCTAAGACAGGACTGGAACTCACCGTCTCCTGGTGATTGGCTCAGAGTCACCCAGTCAGTTTTCATGCCTAAGACAGGACTAGAACTCTCTGTCTCCTGGTGATCGGTCCAAGGACATCCAGCCAGCTTTGATGCCTAAGACGGTACTAGAACTCGCCATCTCCTGAGGATTGGCCCAAAGTCGATCAGACAGCCTTCATGCCTAAGGCAGAACTAGAATTCACTATCTCCTGGGGATTATCCCAAAGTCACCCAGCTGGTCTTCGTGCCTAGGGAAGGAACAGAACTCACTGTCTCCTGGGAATTGGCCCAAAGCCCCCCAGCCAGCTTTCATGCCTAAGGCAGAACTAGAACTCACCGTCTCCTGGTGATTGGCCCAAGGACATCCAACCAGCTTTGATGCCTAAGGCGGGACTAGAACTCACTGTCTCCTGGGAATTGGCCCAAAGTCACCCAGCCAGCTTTCATGCCTAAGGCGGGACTAGAACTCACTGTCTTCTGGTGATTGGCCCAAGGACATCCAGCCAGCTTTCATGCCTAAGGCAGAACTAGAACTCACTGTCTCCTGGTGATTGGCCCAAGGACATCCAACCAGCTTTGATGCCTAAGGCGGGACTAGAACTCACTGTCTCCTGGTGATTGGCCCAAGGACATCCAGCCAGCTTTGATGCCTAAGGAGGAACTAGAACTCACAGTCTCCTGGGAATTGGCTCAAAGTCACCCAGTTGGCTTTCATGCCTAAGGAGGAACTGGAACTCACAGTCTCTTGCGGATTGGCCCAAAGTCACCCAACCGGCCTTCATGCTTAAGGCAAGACTAGAACTCATCTTTTATCCCACCTCCCATTCTTCCTGCCATTTCCATTCCTTTAATTAAGACTTCCCTATTGGTTAGCGTGAAGTCACAGAAGTTTTCTCTTATGAGTTCTTATTCTAAGCGAAGGAGAACGAAAATAAGGCAGGTCAGGAATTTCCTGGAAGGACTTGCTCAGCCGGCTACTTTCTTGAGAATAATAATTGGAATAATTGAAGTTCCCTCTCAGCGCCTCTTCATACCTCCTTAAAAATACCTGCAGTGTGCTTTTCACATGCGCCCCCCCCGTTTTTTTTCTCCTTTGGTTGGATGGTTAGTGGCAAACTCAACAACAACAGCAGGAACAACAAACAAACCAGTGTGGCTTTTAGTGGTTCTTCCAACCTGTTTAACCTAAACGCTTCCTACATCCCTTTTAAAATGGAGTCATTTGAACAGGTAGGAAATAGGCGGCGTTTGAATTCATTTATGCTTCATTTCGTCTCTTTTATTATTGAAAAGCAGCCCTTTCGTGGTTTGTGGTAAAATTTGCCCTTTGAAATAAAGGCTGAAAGAAGACCCCCATCCGGCACTCCAGAGAAGCCCCCTCCCCTCCAGCTGCACCCAGCATGAAAGAAGACCACAACTGGCCCGGTCCAGGTAGTTCTCAGCTCGTTTAGTGACCGTTTGAAGTGACAACTGTAGTAGAAAAAGGGACTTATGAGTGTTTTTCACACTTAACGATGGTCACAGCATTCCCCCCCCCCCCCCCCAGTCACATGAAAAACATTTGGACACGTATTTATGACTGTTGCTGTGTCTCAGGATCAGTGATCCCCTTCTGTGATTTTCTGACGGTCAAAAAAAGTCCAGATTCACTTAACAACTGTGGCAAGAAAGATGGTGAAATGGCCCAGAACTCACTTCGGCGTCTCGCTTAGCAATGGGAATTTTGGGCTTGGCTGTGGTTGTAAGTCGAAGACTATCAATGTACAATAAAAAAAGAATAATAAATGATAAATGAAGCAGAGTGGTGCTTTGGGCTAGTGGTGGAACTTTCGCCTCACAATCAGGAGGCTGTGAGTTCGATCCTAGTTAGAGCCAGATATTTCTCTCTCTCGGCACAACGAGAATGTTATCAGCTGAACTAAACTCCGCATTGGCGTCAGGAAGGGCATCCGGCCAGTAAACACTTTGCTAGCTCCATTCAGTTGCCCAGACTCCACCCCGCAAAGGATTTTGGAGTCGTTAAACAAAGGTGATGAAATGATAAATGAAGCAATAAATGAATAAAAGCAGGAAAGAATACCATTTCTTTAGTTGTATAGCAGTGTTAATCTGATGGATTCCTTAGAGGGAAACGTCTATTGCCTTCTTGGCTTCTTGTTTTGCCATCTGGAATCTCACACTCCAGCATGCACAAAATTCTAGCCTATTGGCAGAGGTGGAGGATGGAGGGGGAAAAAAAAATGCCTCTGCTAACTTGAAATTTGAGCTGAAAATAAGCATCGTGTTCCGCGCTTCCTCCATGCGTTTACCAGATGGCCTTTTAATAGTTCCTCTTGGCAGGAAGGCCTCCGTGCAATAGTTAGAAGTGTGATAATGAGGTATTGGCATTGTCTTGAGAATACAAGCATTAAGCATTTTTTTTTCTTTCCCTCCTATCAGCCCAGAGCCCGAGAAATGTAGATCATGTAGACGTTTTCAGGTGGTTTGCAACTGTCAATCTCCAGAGCGAGGAATTTCGTGTTTTCTTTTCTTTCTTTTTTTTTTAATGGGACAGTTGGGGCATAATTGTCGGGCTGCATACTAATAGGGCAGAGGGGTTTCTTTTGAGGGCTGTATCAGGGCTGTGGTTGGCCTCGGGGTGTTGGGTGGGCATGGCTGACTGGGTGGGCGTGGCCAGCTGGTGGCGGGCGTGGTCATCTTGATGCCACTCCCCAAACTGCTGACGTGTTTCCTTTTTTGCATTGGGTAGACTGGGACGAAGTGATGCGGGCCGGCCCCTTGCGTTTTCAGGGCCGGCCCCCGTGGGCCAGTTCTGACTGTGCTGTCCAGACAGTTTAGAGTTAATGGGATTTGGGATAGTTAGTTAGGAATTGTGAGCTGTCCCCTTAAGGGAATGCATCATGGTAAATGTAGTTAAGGTATCCTGGGAAATGTAGTCCATGTCATGTGGCCACATCTGTAATCCTGATTGGTCACTAAATTGACCCTTGTTGGGTTAGGGGAGGCTCCCTCACTCTTGCCTGAATCTATTACCATGTAGCTGCTTCAGTCATCATGGGGTTGAGACCTTATTATCTTTCTACATCACAATTCAGCTATGCAAAGGATTGGACAGTAAGAAGAACCTCGTCATAAATGTGAGGTTGACAGGATGCCTGATGAACCAATAAAAAAGGGCTTTGTATGGATGTTTTGTGGAGTTGATCTGTCTGCCTTATGCCATCCAAATATTAATAAGCAAAACAGTAGAAAGATAATAAGGTCTCACGGACCGGATCTGGCCTGTGGGCTTTGAGTTTGACACCCCTGTAATAGGAGCACAGGTGGCTGAAGACAAAATATTTTATCCACAGGTTGTCAACCTACAGGTAGTCTTCAACTTATAACTATTCATTTAGTGACTGAAGTTACAACAGAACTGAACGATGTTACTTATTGTTTTTTTTTTTAAAAAAACTAGACTCTCTGTGTCATATATATGTGAGCATATTTACCCTGTTTTCCCAAAAATACGACCTACCTTGAAAGTAAGTCCTCACTTGATTTTACACGTGCGCCCAATATAAGCCCTATCCCCCCAAATAAGCCCTAATTAAGATCCCGCCCATTCCAGAGTGCACAGATAAAAATTAAACTAGGGTAGGGATGGAATAGTGATGGAGTTGCCCTACTGCTTACCTTTGGACAGGTGTAGCCAGGCCTCGCACACCCCGACACCTGCCTTGCTGGCCCATTTCTTCTGCAGCCGGCAAGGCTGGCAAGGCTTTCCGGAAGGTCTCTGAAGCTGATAACAAAGTTCTGGATCGATCCAGAGCTCTGTTGTCGGCTGCAGAGGCCTTCAGGAAAGCCTTGCCGGCTGCAGAAGAAGTTCCTGAAGGCCTCTGACAGAGAAAAGGAGGCCGGGGGCAACGCACGCAATTGAGGTTAGTCAGTGGATGACATCTGCCCAAAATGAGATCTGGTGCCTTTTTTGGTGGCCAAAAAAAAAAAAAAAAAAGACAGGGTCTTATTTTGGGGGAAATACGGCATTTATTTATTTTGTCGTGTGTTCATGTATTGTGTATTAGAGGTGGTGACCTTTTGAGAGCTGTATGCGCCGAGATTTCGTTTTAATGTATGCCGATTAGCGTACATTTGAAGTGACACTAAAGTTAGTCTAAGTTCTAAGTTTTTTACATTTATGATCATTTGCAGCATCCCCAAGGTCAAAATTCGGGTGTTTGGTGATTGGTCCCAGTTTATACGGTTGGAGTGTCCTGGGGTCACGTGATCCCCTTTTCCACCAAGCAAAGTTAATGGGGGATTTTAAGAGTCTTCTATATTAAAATATTAATCTGGCCCCAATATTTCATCTTGCAATTTATGTTGAGTCCTTATGCAGCCTTTTTTTTAAAAAAAAAAAGTACTTCGAGTCTTTACTGTATTATCATATTTCTGCCCCCATAGTCCTGTCAAGCCAACCCACAGTAATTTGCAACCCAACATTAAACAATTACATGTTCAGTTAATGAAACACAGCAACAAACCCATGCAATAAATAACAATAAAACCACAAGAAATCAGCGCCTTACAATGTGAGTAAGTTTTGTGTAAGGAAGATGAATGTTTTAAGTGGAAGAAAATTTTTAAGTTGCCATAGGCTTATTATATTCAAGCATCTGGCCCTGTCAAAGTACTGTACGTTGGGCTTGTTTCTTATTTTTTATTATATCTATCTATCTATCTATCTATCTATCTATCTATCTATCTATCTATCT